AGTACAGCGGTCTGGAGTTCGGGCTCGGTAGTGAGCTTGGACTTGCTTCCGATGTTCGCTTTGGGCGCTCTTCTGTCCCGAACTGCCTGCCTTTGCCACGTGTCGGGCGATCGCGAGGTCGGGCCAAATTTCCCTTCATCACCATATGTTGTACTCATCTTGTTATTAAATTTGCATATTTAGAATTTTCTAAGCATTTGTCATAATCTTAATTTCACATTTAATCCTTCATTTATTTCATCAATTAAAATGTTGTCATCAATAAAGTAAACAACAACAATGCACCATTGGCAATAAGCTTATATCACACATAACCACAAGGAACTATAGTTGCACATTGGGTATGTTAATCTGTTCTCCTTCTTGGCAAAGTTCTTTCTCAAAGGATACAACAAGATTTCGATCAAACAAGGGACTAAAACTCTTCCTTGACATTAATAATTCCAAATTGATTCTAAAGCTATGCATTTTTAGATTAATAAGTGTTCCTTGTAGGTGCATTCAAATAGAGCATTGGCTTTTGGCATATTTATATCTATATATTAAAATTAGGTTTGCCGTGTCAACTAGGGCTGTAATCAGATCGGACTTGGATCGGATGCAGCAAAATCTGCATCCGATTCGATTATTAATAGCATTCATCTGAATCCGATCGGATTCGAATCCAAATCCTAACAAATTCAGATCGGATTCGGATTTAATTTGACTCCGCTACAAATTTTCTAAAATATTAAAAATGTTATTTATTTTTAACATTTATTTATAATAAATTAATATAAATATAACACACTAAATTTATTATATACCTAAATTCACATATAATATAATATATAGAATATATTTTTTATAATTTTAAATATAATTATATAAAACTTATATATTAAATTTAATAAATGTTATATTATAATCGGATTCAGATTTTAATCGGATCGGATGAGTCAAATCCAAATCCAATCCATTATTAATCGAATGTATATTATAACATCTGAACCCGATCCAATTATATAATCCGAAATAATCGGATCGGGTTTTGGATTTTCGGATACCATTGACAGCCCTAGTGTCAACAGGCATCTCCTCCGTCCTTTATCCAATGCCTCGATGACCGAACCCAGAGAGAGTAATGAAGACATCTGAGCTACCAAAACAAGGTTTAGCTGCGTAGAACCTCATCATTGATTCTTCAGCCCACTGAGTTCGGTTTTGACAGTCCTCTATATTTTCCTACTCTACAACACATGTTGAATATGTTTGATAAGGTTGAAAAATCCTTCAACGCATCAACATCGTTTCCCACAACCAAACACAAGGGAGGTAGACCAACAATGCGCATTGCCGGTGGCGGAGCCAGGAATTTTCTTTTGAAGGGGGAGGGGGGAGTTAAAAAATAAAGAGAAGGAGAGTAGAAGAAGCAGGTTTTGGGAAAAATTAGCCTAAAAAGGTTTGAATCTATTACATATTTTTCTTAAAAAAAAATTGGCCCGATGCTTTATATTTTAGTTCAAGGGGTCAAAGACTCACTTTATTACATTTTTTATCCGATTTCCTGGTTTTGACAAAAAGTTTTGGGGAGGAGGGGGGAGAAATTACCCCCACGCTCCACCTTTGCTCATTGCATGACCTTAAGTTTTAGGACAAGTTGTTGCCCAACTAGTACCCCAACCCCAATAAAGCAGACAGACCTATAGTAGCAACAATAGTGGCTCAGAAGCAAGGAGAAAGCAATAAGAGTTATAACCTCAATAACAGAGGATGAAACCTATAGCAAATGTTGTTCAAGTAAAGCTATCAAAGGATTTTCTTCATCTTCCTAACACACTAACATGCATGTCTTTATTGACCATCCTCATTTTCCAAGTTAAGGCTGCCTTTGGATATAATGCAAATAGAGTGTAAATCTCGGTTCAGGGTAAACTTACATTCTAGTTCATTTTTACCTGTGTTTGGCAATATTACATTTATGTATTTACAAATGATAGATCAATACATATTTACATGGATAATAAGATGTAAAGGCTTAATTTGGAAGAAATACAAATACAAATATGTACAGTACAAATCCTTACAAAATATAAGGTTTTGCGCTCTACATATTTGTATTTGCATTCAAGTGGGATTTTGATTAAAAAAAAAAAAAACATATGCTTTATTAGAATTCATGTTTGCATCCATTACAGCTAAAAGTCTATTGGGTAAGAGGGTAAATTTATCAGTGCAAAACTAACCCAATTTTACAATTTATTTGAATCATTTTATACTCTATATATTTACATTTACACTTATTTACATATTTTCCAAAAGCAACCTAAGGATCTTCCACTATTTTTTGAATCGGTGGTAACTGAACTTTGACCTATTGGATTCAAACAAAGTGAATCAATATTCTCCTTCTCTGTTAGTGGCAAAAACACATGTTTTTCTTTGGTTATTGGCTATATTGCTAGTTTCTGACAATGATGCTAGGGTATGAGAGGTTATCACTTATCAGCATGTAGCGGAGTCGGTGTACATATTTCTATGTCTTACACAACGTGTATAGGCTCCGTAACGTGGCACCATGACACCCTACAAACTACAAAGTAAAACCCATTTGCAATAAGTGAGTGAACAAGAAGCCACGAAGCGAGTCAAGTATGACCCGTTTAACACATGTGGCAATGGGTCAACCTAGTACAAATAAGCAAGGGTGAGTACGTATTAACATAGCTACTTAGCTAGTACAGTGATTTCTTACTCACCCTTGCAAACATCCATGGCTACAAGTATTAAACAATGGGCCTTGGTTTATAAATGGCAAGTACCTTATCTTGTAAAAATGGGAAGTGGGGTTTAATCCTTACGGGTCTCAACTAAATTTGGCCATCATTTGGATTTGCATTCCCAATCTTCCTCTTGAATACTGGGATCGTGAATATTTTGAAATCATACTTTCTAATGTAAGTCGAATAGTAAGGTTGGATGAAACCACTTTATCAATGGAGAGAGGTCGATACCTAAGATTGGGATAATTTTTTTTTTTTTTGTATTTTGAAGATTTGTTAAACTTTTCCCACAATGAGATTCTTGTCAAATCTTCTTGTGTAGTCTCTATTATCATTGATCTTCTCTTGTCTATATAGGCCAACCATTTGCTTCCTCTCTCC